CACACACACACAATAAATAAATAAATAAATAAATAAATAAATAAATAAATAAATTTTTTTTAAAAAGTTCATTAAATCCAAGACCAAAAGAGGAAGTGAGTCAAGGAACAGGGTCTCCTCCTGTTTGGGGGTGGGGGGGTTGGGTTAGTGACTCATTTGGGCTCTTTCAAGGTGATTGATACCTATTTAGAATATCAATCTCTGATGCCCATCCCTAGGGAAGTATGTGGCTGCATTTGTTTACTCTTTTGTCTTGAGATCTGTCCCATACTGAGAGGGAGTGTCTGTCCCTTCCAAAGTTGCAAAGTCACCCGGTCTTCTATATTGTCTCCTTGAGGGCCTGACCCTGTCTGACTGCCTATAACATTTTTATCTAATTTAGCTGCCTTCAACAGAACCACCTGGAGGGTGGCTCACTGCCCCTACCTCCCTGCTGAACCAAAAGCACTACAACTTTGCACAGTTAGTTCGTGTCATAGGGAAAGATACCAAGAGCTTCTGAGAGAGGGAATGTAGCAGTAAGGCCCCTCCCATGAGTCCCCCAGAGGCCTCAGCAGATAATGGAGATAGGTACTGTAACTGCTGCATGAGCAGAAAGAGCCATACTGTCAAGCTAACATCTACCCAGCACGTGCTAAATGCTCCACATGAACCAAGTGCTTTACTGAGCCTGGCACCTCTTTTGATGGCTTCTAATCAAACTTGCCTTTGTTTTTGTTGCTGTTGTTTTATTTTTATTTATTTATGTATGTGTGTGTGGCCAGCTCAGCCCACCAGGGGGCGGGGCTGGCTGGCATGTAGTGCTGGGGGATTGAACCATGGTCCTTGTGCTTTGCTAAGCTTGTTCTAAGTAGGTGCTTTAGACCACTGAGCCATCCCTCCAGCCCCTATTTTTTGTTTTTTGAGGTAGGGTTTTCCTATGCATTTCAGGCTGGCCTGGAACTCGCTTTGTAGCACAGACTGGCCTCAGACTTGCAGTGATCATCTTGCCTCAGCATCTCCAGTGCTGGCATTACAGGCATGTGTCACCACACTTGCCCTAAACTTGTCTTAATAAAAGAGGAAACAGACTTTTTAAGGTCAACTAACTTGTTCAAGACCTCTGGCTATAAGATGGTTGAAATGCAGTGAGATAGTGAGGTTAAGATTGATAGCCTAAATCGTGTGATAATAACAATAAGCTTGTCTTCTGGATAGTTAACAACCTAAGTTTGCAGACCAAAATTAGAGAAAAAGGAGGGCTACAAGGAAAGCCAACATTTTGGCCCTAGCCTTCTAAGGTCAATTAAGACTCAGGACATATGAGAACTTGTACTGTAACGTCATGTACCTCGGTAGTGTCCCAAATTTTCTGATCAAGAAGATTATGGGGCCAAAGAGGAAAGTGATCGATGACGTAGAGTGTGCCTAAGGAGAGTCACATGGGGAGAAGACACTCTCTCAGGCTTTCACAGAGAGCACATTGGCCAAGCAATGGCCGTGACTCATCCACATGGCTGCACTGACAAAGGTTCTACAATCTGAGGTACAGGATCTCAGGATAAATCCTGAGGGCATTTCACTGACCTTCTCAGACCAAAAAGCTACAACTCTTGTTGCACAGGTCCTGCTTTACCTTGGTCTTAACCATCCAGTAGAAAAGTATGAAGACGAAATATAGGAAATAAAGCCATGGTGTTATGTTGAGCTGTGGGGGACTCAGGTCAATAATTTCTGACATTGCCAGTTAAACAGAAGACCCAATGCTATTATGGGCTACTGGACTCTTTTAGAATATTTTGCTGAGTTTACACACTTATAATATTCAATAATGGAACTTAGAAAAAATGGGGTATACTGATGAATGTCCATTTTGTATCTGTGTATTCAAAGTGGTTAGGATAGATATATAGTTGCATTCTCTTAATGAATAGAATGATTTGTTCTAATGGTGTTTGTAAATAGGATCTCAAGTCCGCATCTTGTACAGCAATTAACCACTAAGAAGAATATATGCAGTGTATTATTTGTTGAAACTGTACTTCCGATTTGATTTGAAACTGTCTCATTGCTATCTGTTTATCAATAAAACTTTGGGAAAAAAAAAAAGACCTCTAGCTAGTTAGGAGGCAGTAGAACCAAGACACAAACTTGGTTCTGTGTGATTCTAAACTCCAAGTCACCACTGGTCTTCTGTGTTTTTTTTTTTTTTTTTTCAGAACCAGGGATTGAACTCAGGCCCTTGCCCTTGCCAGGGAAGCGCTTATTTCACTGAGCCATCTTCCCGGCCCGTCTTCTGTGTTTTGATAGAGGGCATTTATGTCTCCATATCATACTTTCAGGGACAGGAGAGGAAATAGGAACTAAAAATCCCAATTGATTAAATCTCAACTAAAATCCCAATTGACTAATTGATAAAGACACAAAACCATTTGGGAGGCAAAGAGTGCTGTGATGATTATAAAACAGGGTAATGAAGTAGAAACTAATCAAGGAGAGAGACTTTTGTTGCAGGCAGCTGAATTAGATAGAAATATTATAGGCAGTCAGACAGGGCTAGACCCTCAAGGAGACAGCATGGAAGACAAGATATGTTGCAATTGTAAGAGGGATGGATGCTCCTGCTGTGGGCCAGACCTAGAGACTAAAGA